CTGTTTTTATCAGGGATATTGGCCTGTTGCTTTCTTTTCTTGTGATATATTTGACTGTTACTAGAGAAATGTTCATCTCATAAAGTGAGTTTGGACATGTGCCCTTCCCTTCTGAAAGAGGTTCAGAATGGGTTGCACTAATTCTTTGAATTTTTGTGGATTCATCAATGAAGCCATCTGGTCATGTGCTTTTCTTTGTTGGGAGGCTTTTAACTACTAATTCAATCTCCCTATTAATCATAACTAGGTTCAGACTTACTCTTTCTTCATTGCATCCAAGGTTTCTAGGAATTTATCCATTTCTTCCAGGTTGTCCAATTTGTTGGTATATAATTATTCATAATAGTTTCTTATAGGGCCAGGGATTTAGCTCAGTGGTGCCAATGCCTGCCTCACAAGTGCAGATCCTCGGTACCAAAAAATTTTTTTAAATAAAATAAAATAATAGTTTCTTATAATTTTATCATTTCTGTAGCATTGGTTATAATGTCTCTTTTTCTGATGTTTTGAATATTCTCTTTTATTCTTAGTCTAGCTAAAGACTTTGTCAATTTTATTTTTTAGAAAACAACTTTGTTGATCTTTTCTGCTGTTTTTCTAGTCTCTATTTCATTTATTTTTGCCCTGATCTTTATTTCCCTCTTTCTGTTAACTTTGGTCTTAACTATATTTTAGAGTTCCTAGTGGTGTAAATTTAGATTGTTAATTGAGATCTTTCTTTTTAAATATAGATGGTTATGTCTATAAACTATCCTCAGTGTTGCTTTTGGTGAATACCTTAAGTTTTGGCATGGTGTATTTTGTTCTTGATTCCTCAAGATATTTTTAAATTTCCTCTTCAATTTCTTCTTTGACCTACTCATTCTTCAAAAGAGTCTTAATCCACATAACTTAAATTTTTCAATTTTCGTTCAGCTATTATTATTTATTAGTACATGTTCTCAGTACATCTGATTGTATTTATTATGGGGAATTGATACTTGTACACAATACATCTTAATTCTTTTTTTCAAATCCTCTCCCCCTCCTCTCCCTTCCCATTCCCTTCAACTCTTGGTTCCCTTCTCATTTTCAAAAGCTCTTTTGCATAAGCACTTTTCTCTTCAATTCTTTTTTTTCCACCCCATTTCCCTCCCCACTCTCCTCCCTCCCTCCAGCTATTGATTTCTAATTTCATTTCATTGTGATTGGAAAAGTTACTTGGTATGATTTCAATCTTCTTGAGTTTTCTTCTTAAGTTTGTTAAGACTTTTGTTATGACTCAATGTAGTTAATCCTAGATACTGTTCCAGGTATATTTGAGAGGAGTGTATATGCTGCTGTTGGGTGGAGGGTTTTGTACACATATGTTAGGTCTAGTTCATCTATATTTTTCCAGTGCTCTGTTTCTGTATATTTGAGGAGAATATGTATTCTGCTGCTGAGTAGAGTGTTCTCTCTCTCTCTCTCTCTCTCTCTCTCTCTCTATATCTATATATATATATATATATATATATATATATCTTTTAAGTCCAATTAGTCTATAGTGTTGTCCTCTGTTTGCTTGTTGATCTTCTGTCTGTTTGATATATACCTTTTTGAAGAGGAATTTTGAAATTTTCTATGATTTTTATGTTACTGTGCATTTCTTTCTTCAATAATGTCCATTGTTGTTTCCTATATATGTGTACAGTGCTCTACTGTTAGGTGCGTATATATTTATAATTCTTATTTTTGCCTTTTGAACTGATCCTTTTGTCATTATATATACTATTTTTGTCTCCTGACAATTTTCGATTTAACATATATTTTATCTAAGTATGACTATTGCCCACTTTTGGTTACCATTTAGTGAATCTTGTAGACATTGTATTGTTAGATTTTTTTTGTTTCTTTATCCATTCAATCAACCTCTGGCTTTTGATTGCAGAATTTAATCCATTTATGTTCACATAATTATTTATAGAGTAGGACTTACTATTGCTCTTTTACTGTTTTCTATTTTGTAGCCCATTTGCTTCTTTTCTTCTCTTGCTTTCTTCCTTTGTATTTCATTGACTTCTTTCTGTAGAGGTATGTTTTGATTCCTTTCTCTCTTTCTTTTGTGTATCTTCTTTAGATTTTTTTGTGGTTATCATAGGACTTACATAAAGCCCTCTAATTATAACAGTCTATTTGAGATCACATCAACTTATTTTAAATGCATACAAAAATGCTACACGTATAATTTGGCTCCCACTTTGCTACTGATATCACAAATTGCACATTTTATATTTCCAATAATACACATTATAGTTATTCTTTATACTTTTATCTATTACTTTCTGTGCAGAATAAAATATGTACACCTTTTTAATATTCCAGTATTCTGTTTTGTCCACATGTTTTCTTTACCACTGAGCTTTATACTTTCATATGCTTTCAAATTGCTCTCAGTTGTCTTATTTTTCAATTTAAAGACTACCTTAACATTTTTTGTAAGGCAGGTCTAGGTGATGAACACACTCTGCTTTTGTTTATATGAGAAAGTCTTTATTTCTTCCTTTTTGAGGATAAGATTTTGTCAATGTTTTTCTTTCAGCACTTTAAGTTTAGCATTTCATTTGCTTCTGGTCTGAGAGGTTTATGATAACAGTCTTATGGGGCTCTCTCTTTTTTTTTTCCAGAACATTATGTTTTTTACTTTTCTGATTAAAGGTCAACTGCTGAAGTATACATATTAAACCACAGAATGACCATTTAAAAACATGGAATATATTACATTTTTTACTTTCCACAGCCAGGGTAGCCAGTCTAGCACAGAACAGGGCTCTGAGCACCTGAGCTGATGTCCAGTGACAGCTGGGCCATCAGGGGATGGGGGAGCAGGGTCCAGACCACATCCCAGGTGGCAGATGTTCTTGGGAACACACATTTGTTAAGTTTGTCTTTAATTCTGAATATAATTCTGCAAGAAGAAGACAGGAGTGAGAGAAATCTGAAATATTTTTTCTTTCTGTACAATATTTCACAGGTGGTGGCCTGCTGGCCTCCTCACCCCCAATTTTGTGTCCCTGTTGCCCACGGTATGCATTGTTCTACTCCCCAAATTCACTTACTCTTGTTCATGTTGACTTGATTACAGGGCTAAAATTAAAAATCCAAAATCCCAATGCAAGCTTCATTCTTTAAAGTAATTTGTGTTCAAATTGGAGTTCAAAAAAGATTTCAGAAGAAAAGAAATACTGTAGTCCTTTAGACATGATGATAAAAAATCAGGGCATAGACTCGCAAAAGGGATTAGTCAGAATTTTAAAGGCTGGTCCAGTTAACCAACCTGGCAATGTTCACAGTTTTCATTTGTGTATTTAACTACTGGCAGTCAAGGCAAAGCCTATGAAGATGAAAGCCCTGCTGTTTCACAACTAGACAATGCATTGTAAAACATAGCTACTGGTATCCAGGCAGCAAAGCCACTGACTCCTTTATTATTCCGTTATTTTGAGAACTAGTTCATGCACTTCAGTGCTTAGAGCCCACCTTCTGCAGAGAGGGTTTTGGGGCTCTCTTGTATGAGATGAGGCACTTTTCTCTTCCTTCGTTTGATAGTTTTTGTATTTTACATTTGATAATTTGTTTATAATGTATGTCGATGTTAAATTTTGTGGATTCATCCTAGTTAGATTCTGTTGGGCTTCATAGATCTGAAGGTCCATTTCCTTTCCCATATTTGGGATGTTTGGCCCATTGTTTCTTCAAATAATCTTTCTTCGTTCTCTCTTCTTTTACTGCAATAATGTATATATTGATCCACTTGATGTCCTCCCATAAGTTCCTTGGATTTTCTTCCTATTTTTCATACTTACTGCCACTCTGACCTGTCATTTCAAATGACCTGCTTCCAAGTTTTCTAGTGCCTTTTTCAGTTTCATCAAGAAAGTTGTTGAAGCCTTCTAGTAATTTTTTTCAGTTTAAGTGTTTATTGTAAGTTTTTCAAAAATATTTTTGTTTCTCTGTTGATATTCTTTTTTGTTCATGCACCATTTTCTGAACTTGGTGTGCATCTTTATGATGGTTATTTTTAATTCTTTGTCAAATAATTTGTATACTTGCTTTTCTTTTGTGTCAGTTTTTGGAGATTTATTCTATTCCTTTGTTTGGGCCATGACTTCTTATTTCTTCCTGTGTTTTGAACCTTTATGTTTAAGAAAATGATCATTTCTCCATATCTTCTGATTGGCTTCATCAGGGAAAGACTTTCACTAATCAACCTGATTAGAGATTCCGAGAGCCTTTCAGACCTTTCCTATGGATACTCCTCCAGACTTGTGTGTGTAAATTCCAGGTTAGAAAGATTTGCTAGTTTCATTTTTTCCAATTCATGCTGTCTTGTCTCCTGGTGTCTATTTGTGGCACTTCATGTTCTTTGGAACTGCTGGGAGCTTCCCATTTCCTTTTAGTTCTTAGTGTTCTTTTGAGCTTCTAAAGTGTGTTGGGTCTTTGAATCTGTTGAAATAAAAATAAATCCTGTGGGAAACCTCCTTAAAGTAGGACTATTGGACAATCAGGGCACACTTTATCCACTCACCCCAAGGAAAGTCACTGAGCTATATTAAACTCTCTGCTACATTTCCTGAGGATCAGCAGCAAATCACCCAGACCTTTTTTTCCCCAGAAGCCCCCAGGCATTCAGAGTATTGTGGGTCTTGTCACCCTTCTGGAACACATGAGAAAAACCAATCTCTTCAGCAGCTCCAGGAAAAGATAGTGTATTGAGTTCACGCTCAAACTCTTTCCCTCTCTGAGGAGAATCTAATGATTGAGCGTCTTCACCTTCTTGTTCCATTCTGTGCTGGAAGGATGTGCTTCTTGAGTCTGTTCTCGTCCAAACCTTTGCCTTTATTCTCAGTAGTCCCCAATCTGGCATTCCTTTCCACTAGTACTCAGATTCAAGCAAGACATATCTCAGTTCCTCAACTCTCTCCTTCCACAGAAAGTTTGCATGTTGGACATATATTTCAGTTTTCTTTTCTCTTCCCCAGGGTGAAGCCAAGAATTGAGAGTGTTCTCCTGATTGCATTGTGCTGAGTTTGGCAGAGACCATGGCAAGTAAGTAACACAAATTTCCTCCTGGCTTCAATGTGGCTGGTTTCATGCTTGCCCGGGGTGCAGGAGCCTTTTAATTGGTTTCCAGATTTCTTTAGAAGGAAATTAGTCTGTGTATTCATTGTTGAAGTCATGTCTCCATTTGGAGAAAGGAAGATATCAGGCTTTCAACTCTAACATCACCAGTTCCCGTTTTATTATTTGTTTTCTGTTTGTTCCCTCTGTTTCTTTTTGCTCTTTGAACACATTTTTCTTATCTCCCAGAATTCCAATGATACGTAAAAATGCTAGACACTTTGTTATGGCTCCATAGATTCCTTAAGGTATGTTCTTTTTTTATTTTTATGCTCTCTTTACTATTTTATTAAAATTGAGTAAATTCTACTGATCTGTCATCAACTTCACTGATTCTGTTCTTTCTCATATCTACTCTAGTACTAAATCCATATAGCAATTTAACAAAATAGCTGTTTATTCAGTTTTATAATTTGCTTTTCTTTTTTTTAAAAAAATAACTCATTTATTTGCTGACATTTTCTATTTTTTGCATTTGCTTTAGTAGAATTTTAGTTACTTGTTGAAGTATGTTTATGACAGTGACTTTAAAACCCTTGAAGTTATCTTGATTTGGTGTTCAGTTAATTGTTTTTTATTTTTCAATTTGTAATTTTCCTAGTTCTTGGTATGAGGAATGAGTTTTCCATTGTATCTTAGACATTTTGTTACTATTTTAGAAATCTCTTGATCCTATTTAAATCAGGTAGTCATCTGTTTTAGGTTTAGAATACAGGTCCTGGCCTATTGTTTTTGGGTTTCAGATTCAATGATAATTCAGTTTTCAGAGCCATTTCAGTATTAGTCTGATCTGTTTTGTTCTTCTGACACTGCTGCAGATCTTGCTCATTTCCTATTGATACCAACTGTTGGGCATACATCACTTTCTTGGGCTATCTGGTATCATTAGGCCACCTTATCCTACAGGAATTGGAGCAGAAGAAGCCAGTGGTAGTGAGTCTTCCTACACTGCAAGATGTAGTACCAGGAGATGGTGGTGTCCTAGGTATAGGTTGGAGAGTGGGTGGATCCAGCACTTTGCAATTGTCACTGTAGATTGGCCAGCCATCCTATAAACACCATAAATATTGAAGCTGAGTTGGGTTGGTCTGCTCAGGCTTTACTGCTGCCCTTGTGGGCTGCCAATGTAGTAGCTGTGGATCAGGATTTAAGATAGAGTAGCAGGATTTTGAAATTCTTTCTGGGAGCAGATCAATACACCTGCTGGTGTCTTGATTGTGGAGTAGAAGTTGGATTTGCCAAGGCTTTGGGCCCGAAGTCTGCCTCTGTGCAAAGTAGATGACTTTGAGGTGTTTTCATGCTAAAGCAAGGACTGAGGCTCACAAAAAGACATATTGGGCTTCTCTTTTTCAAGTATTTAGACCAAAGAAAACAAGTTTTATTTTGTTGTTTTCTTTTCTGTAGTTATCCAAAAAATTATATCTGATATGATGTTTTCAAGAGCCTCATTCATCTGCTTTGTTATTGCTGCTGTTACCACTTCAGAGAGTCAAGAGTGGTGCATTTCACATTGTCCTGCCTCATTGCTCCCTGGGTCTGCCTTTGGTGAGCTCACAGTTGGGGTTGTATCTTACTTCCATGTCCTATCCTTTTGTATATATAATATTTTTTAGTTTAATTTCTGTGTTGATGCTTGTAAATTGCTTATGGTAGGTAGCTTTTTTCTAGCATGGAACATCCTTAGGAAATGACTTCTCAGATATCTTACAGATATAGCTGTTTTTTGGGCTTTGAGTGTATTGTAAGATCCTACTTCTTCAATTTACTGAGGATGAGAAGTTCCTGCCTATTTGGCCTAGACCCTGGTTCTTTGACACTGATGTGTAACCTCAGTCAATCTCAGTTTTGGTATACAAGGAAGAATAACTGATTTGAACAACTATGTCACCTTGGCTAAAGTAGTACAAACAATAATAATAATAGCATGAAGCACAGTGTATAAAATGATAAACTGTGGTGACTATTAATTTGTGACCTTTAACCACATGAACAAGATTTGTAGGTATATAACAAAATCTAAAACAAACCAAAAAATTCTATGCAGTAAGTATCCCCTCAATATGATGCTTTTACCTTCATAGGAGAATTTTAAAGGTTTTTGGGGTAATTAGAGAAATAGAGGAAGAGAAAGAGATTGGAAACAATGCTGAAGAACAAAGGAAGACTATGAAAGCTTTGGGACACTGGTAAAGATGACAAGAGGGAAAGAAGAAAGGAAGAAACTGAATCAGGAGCAGAACAAAACAGCCTTAACAAAACAACTAGAAACAATGTTCATGCTCATATAAAAAGAAGAACAAATGGCCGGGGATTTAGCTCAGTGGTTCTGCTGCCTGCCTCACAAGAGCAAGGACCCGAGTTTGATCCCCAGTGCCAAAAAAAAAAAAAAAAGAAGAAGAACAAAGAAGAAAAAGGGAAGAAGAGGGCCAAAAAAGGAGAGGAAATTTTAATAAGTACACTGCAGGGCGTGTCTCTGCTATCACTGGTAGAATAAGCGGGCAGAGAGAGCCCAGATCTGTGTTGCTTGATTGTGCAAGCCAGAAGCACAATTATGGCAGAGTGGTGGATAATCCTAGTAAGCCAGTGTCTTTAGCTCCACTGAAGTTTAGGCTGGTTCTTTATTCTGGCTGTGAGGTTGAGACCCAAGTTGTTCAGCCCATGACACACTGGGTGCTTCTTGCCAGCTTGAACCTGGCTCTCTGCACTAGGGTGTCTCTCACTGTTGAGCCTCTCCCTGACTCTGGGAGCTGCTAGATGAAGCCAACCTGCAGCTCCTCTGAGTTCACTTTGCCCCCTTTTCAAAATGGTGAACAGCCAATCACCCACTCCTGGAGAAAGCTGAACTGGACTGGAATTGGATCACTCATCAGCTACTGCAGTCTGCAATTTCTACTGCTCCATTTCACTGGTGTAGTTTCCTGTGCAGGCCGCTGGGTCACCTGTAGTCACTGTCTGGGCAGGTTCAAGCTGCCCATCCTGTGCTGTGAGCTGGGGCTCAAGTAGAAAGCAATGTTTGCAACCTCCCTTTTATTCATTTTGAAATGCCTCTCTTTGCTTCCCCATGGGCTCATATTTTTGCTTAGATACTTGCTGGGCCCCAAAGACCCAATTTTGTTCCTCTTCTCTTCCTCACGTTGCAATATTCCAACATCTGGACTCCAAATCCCAGAGAAGCTTTCTCTGTACTGCTCACAACTCTGCCATTTTCCTGGAAATTGAGGTGTTGATTTTGACTACGTGAAGTTTTTTTAACTTATGGCTTCTAAAACAATAAGAGTATAAATGTTTGTCATTTTAAACTACCAACCTTGTGTGGTAACTCATTTAAGCAGCCATAGGAAATTATTACAGACCTACTATGCTCTTTCTTGTTTTTTTTAAATAATATATATATATATATATATATATATTTATTGGTACATTTTAGGTATAAAATACATTTACATTTATCATTGGGTGTTTGTAACAGAACATGATGTATCTTATTTCTTATTTTTTCTCCCATTACCTGTGCACCCTTCACCCCCTCCACCCTTCCCTGTTTACACAGAGTTTGATTCAATTTTTTTTCTCATAATTTTTCCTTTCCCTTCTTCCCTTTCCCCTTCCCCTCCCACCATCCCGAAACCCTTGGACCTTTTCTTATTTCAAATTATCAATTATTCATTTTAATCATTTTATTCCTTATTTACACTTTCAATTTCTCACAGTAGAGAAACTATATGGTATTTACACGTGTGTCCTATTTATTTCACTTAAGAGTATGGCTTCAGTATGCATCCATTTAGCTATAAATGTCTCTAGTTTCTCATTCTTTATGGCTGAGTAGTACTCCATTTTATTAAAAAACCACATCTTCTTTA